CGGAGCTTTGGAGGGTGGTTCAGTGTTAAGTTTTATTTTGAATAGAAGTTGAAACCCAAATATATAAAACAACAACCTCATCATGGGAGCAAATCAATACAAATCATAATCAAAATTCGAATAAGACTAATAATAATAATTATAAAAATAATGATAATAATAATAATACAAAGAAAAGTATTTTTTTAAGTATATTTTATAGCTTGCGGGAAAGTACAGAGGGAGAGAGCAAGATACATAAAGAGAGAAAGAGAGAGAGAGAGAGAGAGAGAGAGAGAGAGAGAGAGAGCGAGAGAGAGAGAGAGAGAGAGAGAGAGAGAGAGGGCAATGTTCCTTGCTGAGTTTGCTAAATTTCAAGTTGCTTTTATGTGTTTTGTCTTATTGTTGTGATAGAGTTTTATTTCTTCGGTCTTTTGGCAAAATATTTAAACAGAACAACATATACGCGGCAATAGAGCTATTAAAGGGCTAAAATGCTGTTTATGAATCGATGTTGGATTTGCAGCATTTAAAAATGTTATATAGTAAATTGTATTGTACTTGTAGTCGCTTAGTTGATACGCATAAATAGTCATCGTTATTGATATATGTGGCAAATTATAGTATATGTGTAAAAGAAATTAAATGAAAAGAAACTCAGCTGACATTGCTTTCGGCCAGTTGTTTTTCGCTTTATATCATCATATTGTTCAGTTATTATCATTTATATGAGGTACTCGCAACACTTTACTATACTTTTACAAAGTGTTTGACCCCGATATATAAATACATGGGTGTTACGTGTGTTGGGTGTAGCTTTGTGTGTATATCGCATATGCAATAAAGATGCATATATATATATATATATATATATATACATCGAGATATACAAAGAGAGAGAGAGAGAGAGAGAGAGAGTTAGAGAGAGAGACGGAGAGAAAAAGTTGGTGGTGAGAGGTTCTTGACTTGGCTGGGTTGCTCTCACTACTTATAATTAGTTTGTATTAAATTTGATTATTATTATTTTTCAATTAAATTTCTTTTAAGATTACATATTGTTATATATTTATTTTTTTATTTGGTTTGAATAGTATTATCCTGTTGTTTTTTTAATTTAATTTTTTGAGAATTTCACGTAGATGGCAGCATATTTTGGTGGCAGGCGAGCAATCAGTTACCGTTGGGTTCTCACGTAAAACGTTGCTTTTAATAAAATATCGATTATCGATTACGCTTCAATTGCAACGAATTTGCATCCCCTGTTTTGTTTGGTTTTACTTTTCTTTTATTGTTTGGGTTGATCGCGCTCATATGTTATCCGACTCAAAACGCAAAAACTAAATTAGACAGACAAAGATATAGATAGAGACGAGAGAGAGAGAGAGAGAGAGAGAGAAGCGACAAAGCAAAATGAAAGGAAAACCAAATGCGAAATTTAACACAAACATTAGCCGCTAGATGGCGATGGTGCGGCTAATCGGCAGCTAAAGCATAATATGAATAAACAATAACTCTTTGAAAAAATTGCAGCTAATAATATCTGAACTACAATATAGGCAATTATTAGTTAATTATGAAAGGAAACGCATTTGAAGAGTGTGATCAAGGGGGATCGATAGATAGATAGATAGATAGAGAGATAGAGAGAGAAAGAGACAGATAGACAGAGAGATGAACTTTGGATAGCTGGGTAGAGTTTAAGGTCTATATTTTTTATTTTCTTTCTTTTTTTTTATTTAGGATAGTTAATGACTAGAATTGTTTTGTTTGTAATTACCATTTTCTATCACTTTGCGTTTGGGGGGATGGCACCGCGGGCACCAACCAACCCTCTGAGTGCACGCGGTGGCCGGTGGTGGGCGTGGCACGCACACACACGCACGACGCACGCACGCAAATCAGATCAGTCGTAGCCTGAGTGTGTGTTATTGACGTTTACAGATACTGTTAATGTAAATGATGCTGTAACTGTTACGTGTTACTGTTAATGAACTGCTTACAGGAGTTGCAGCTGCTGGTTATATTTTGTTTTAATTTTTGATAACACGCTGATGATTTGATTTAATGTTTGATTTCGTTATCAGTTATTAGATTTTGATGATCGATTTTGAGTTTGATTATCGCTTGACGATTATCGCTTATCGTTTATCAGTTATTATTTATCAGTTATCGGTAATCGTTTATCGTTTATCGTTTTTCGAATTTTGATTTGGATTTTGATTCAGTTGCACAAGCTAAGGCCACTTTGTTAGTTGCCCTGTGTTTCGGTTTTTGTTTTTGTTCTGTTTCACGTCACGATCATGTGTTAATAATTGTTATACATGAGTATACGGCCTATATACACATACATACGAGTTATCACATGGTTAGCATTATTTTGTGGATTGATCATGAATCATTGTTTCTTAACATTTGCATTTTTGCTGCTGTTGCTCTTGTTGTTGTTGTTGTTGTTGTTGTTGTGGCTCTTGGCAACATCTGCCCACATTTCGCTGCACTCTCAACTGTCGTCTGTCGTTGACCTTGTGGCTATGGCTGTCATCATCACCAGATTCTGATGCAAAGTCTCTTTTTGGTACTGGCTCTGGCTATGTTTCTGGCTCTGCTTGGGCGCAGACATTGTCTTGCTGGCCAGCCTTAGCCTTGAGCTCGTGGCAGCCCTGACTTCTACTGATTCAGCTACTCCAGCTAGCGGCTCTCTTATTGCAGTTGCAGTGGCTATTGCAGTTACAGTTGGTGTCGTAGTCGCTGCCTTTAAACTTGTTGTCTCAGTATCGCACGTCGTCGTCGGCATCGTTGATGCAGTTGCCGCATTCGCATCGTTAACCAGGCTGAGGGTCGGTTCGCAGCCGCCGCTGCTGTTGCTGTAGTCGATCTTCATGTCATTTATTACCGTCATTATCAATGTTGTGGTTTTTTTATTTTGTTTGAGAATAAATATAAAGTATTTTGTTTATTTAAAACATTTGCTGCGATTCGGCTTAGAGCTCAATACGGTATCGAGACAAATATATTTGTGCCCAACTATGCGTATACGTAATGCACGCATATGTGTTTAAAAAATCATAAGCCTTAATGTACTGAACAACACACCAACTCACACAGACACACACATAAAGGTTGACAAAGATAAAATGAAAAACAACACATAAACTAGGTGTAAATCTACAATTTTTGAAATTTGTTGAAATAAATAGACATCGAGAAAACACAATTGGGTCCGCTAAGCATATTTCAATTATACAGCCAATTACAAGAAGGTTTTAGATTTGAAAAAAAAGCAAATGAGGAATCACTAACACGAGTAAAACACAAATCTAGACAAATACGTACAGCTGGACATTTGTATTGGTTTTTGTATGGAGACAAGGTAAGAGGACATATTCTGTGTGTGAAGGTATATTTGTTTGTGTTTATGTATTAAATAAGAGACAAGATGTATATAAATGTGTACATATACATACATATATGTATTTAGTAATAGAGACAGAGAGAGAGAGTGACAGAGAATTATGGGCATGGTTGCCTGAATCTGAATCTGAATCTGAATCTGAATGGGATGGCAAATGGACAATGGGTATTAAATGGACTATGGTTATGGACAATGGACAATGGACAATGGGCAAATGGGCAAATGGGCAAATGGGCAATGGGCAATGGGCAAGTGGTCGCTCTATGAAGATGGGCAGCCCGCTTTCGGGCCTTACGCGTTCTTTTTTCAATTGTTGTTGTTGTTGTTGTTCTTTATTTTCTTAGCGGTCGTTTTTTTCTTTATTTTGGTTTATTTTTTTATGTCTGTCTTTTGTTGAATTTTTGTCGTTTGCGCTGTCATTTCTTTAAATTCTTTTCTGTATAAACATATCTATATAGATAAATATCTAGATATATATACATGTATACATATAACTATATGTATTTTGTTTTTTGTTAATTTTCGTTTCTATTTTGTTAGCTTCTTGAAATATGTTTGATGAATATTTACTTGTTTATTTGAATTATTATTATTTTGGAATTGAACAACTTTTATGTAATGCTTAAGGACGCACGCTCACTCGCTCGCTAGTTAAAATCACGTCTGAACTGGCAATGTTTTGGATAAGAGGAGGCCTACAAGATATATATATAAATAGTCCACGTATGAAGTTGATGTGAAAGTCAATGGGAAGTTATTTGATAGGTAATTCATAATGGTAACGTATGAAAGACATGCAAATTGTAGCTTAGCTTCTGCCTGGAGGTCGCTCGTCATGTGATCGTTTGAGTTTTATAGTTTTATTATATTATCAATTATACCTAAATATTTCCGTTTTTTTCAGGGTAGTTTCTTTTATAATATGTGTATGTATGTATGCTGTTATATAATTGCCTAGCATATTAGAAAATTAATTATTTCTCGTATTTCCTATTTATGGATTTGACTGCTATTCTTGAACCTATTCTTTCCGCCGATGTATTTGATCTCGTTGTTGTTGTGCGTAGCTCGGAGTAAGATGATTTTTCAGTTGTCGTTATATATATACATATATACATTTCGTTAATCATATTGCGAGTTATTTGTTGTTTATGTTTATAGTTTTTAGTTAACAATTACATGGATGGCAGAGAAGAGACATGGAGTTGTCATGTAGTATAACATATGTACATTGATATAACCAATATTATTTTATATTTTATTTTTAGTATTGTATCATATTGTATTGTATTTGGTTTTTGTTTTTTTTTTTTTTATTTTTTCGGTTGTTTGTTACGTTTACAAAGGTAGTAGTAGAAGTAGTAATAAGTAAGATAGTGGCAGATAAAAGTTACATATTTATTTGTATTTGTATTTATTTTATTTGAATTTATTTTTAGATTGTTTTGCGTTTCAATTTGAGTTAGGAATTTAATCGAATGGTATCGAATCAACATATAGTTTTCAGTGGTATGTATGGTAAAACAAGAACCAAAATTTGCCGGAATAAAAATAGAGCAAGTTGATATGGATTAGTACAGTTGTTAAAATGGAAACAGTTGACACTCACCGATGATCTACTCACTTGCATAAACGCATAGACACCACGTAAAAACTCCATGTTATTTTGTTGCTCTTGAGAACCCTTTTTTGCTGTTGGTTGCGCCCGACTTATATACTGCTTAACGGTGTCGGCGACCAGATGTGGCTTTAGCTTGCGCGATAGAACGCTAGAAATGAACGAGAAAGACAATCAAAATCATGTATGTACTTATATTGAAGATGACAGAGAGTGACAGAGAGAGATATATAGATATATATATATATATATATATAATAGAGAGAGAGAGATAGAGAGAGAGGGGAGAGTGAGCCCTTTATGCGCATACTAAGTCGCTGCGTGGCGGGCCTTGAGGCCTCTCAAAAATGTTAACCGAATCACGGACCGACTGCGGCCTAGCTAATTGTCACTTGACGTGCTGCCTAAACGGAAACACTTTTGTGTACTTAGTCAAATGCCTTTGTGCTAATTGGCCGCACTCCATGCCGTCGCACCCGTGCCACCCGTAACCGCCTCCTTCCATTGCCTTGAACACTCCAACAGCATTTGTGCGCTGTGTTTGTTCTCGTTCTCAAGTTCATGAAATATGCGCAAAGGCCACAAACACATGCACGCTCAGACACACACAGACACACAATGTGTTGGCTGAACGGGTGATGCAAAATCAGCAGCTGGGGCAGGATACGTCTATGTACATATATCTAGTGTCAATGTGGTTGTTGTTGTTGTTCTTGTCGCTGTTGTTGTTGTTGTTCGTGTTGCTGTGGGGGATTTCTGGCTAATTGAAATGCCGCGCTGACGCCTTCACGCACTTGTGAGAGCGACAATTGGCAAATTGACGCCGTAGATTACGCTTATCGTTTAATTGCTCTAAGCAACAGGAGCCACAGACAAGTCAGACCATCAAGTCAGTCACACACTCACACACATACACACACACACACACACACATACAGAGTTCACTAGCTCGGAGCGCATAATTTGAGTTTTATTCGCTAAGCTTTTAAGCCGTGTCTAACAAGCCACGCAGAACAGAGCAGTGCTGAGCAGTCAGCACTCAGACAGTAGCCATCGACATTGGTGAACCCAATTTACACACAGAGTCCAACCCCGCGGCACCCCGCAGCCACCCACACATGCAAGCACACACGCAACTACTACGCATACGCTACGCTATTTCATGATTTCGAGCCATACACGAACGTTAAGTCTGTGAATTTATAGGGAGCACAATATATATACGCAATGAGTTTTGTGCCTCATTATGGTAGCAACAAGTGAGAGTGCTTGACTGGCAAATACCCTGTACCTGTGTCCGTCTCGCCTAATCAAGCACAATTCACATTTACACACAGCCAATAGAAGATCTTAACATAATTTTTTAATGTGTGCGTACATCCTTACTTGAGTTCTTCAAAATCGCAGAGAAAGGTGGACAGTGGATTGAATAAGATTGACAAGCTCCATTTTTTTGATCAGGAATATATATGAATGTTGGTCCCTCTTCATTATCATCATATCTAAGGGAAAAATCCTACAAGAGATATATTTGATTTGAGTAAAATCGTGACTCTTATCGCATAAACGGTCGGCCAGTTGAAGAGTCGGAAGTGTTGCTGTGAGCTGCCCGCAGCTTGTGCGGACTCTGAGTATATACAGAGTGTGAGATTTTCTGTGATTTTGTGTGGATTAAGAGCGCTATAAGTCGGACTTCATGTGCGCGCATGTTGCAGGAAAAGCCACATAGACAGATGCCAAATGCCAAATGCTTTGGAAAATTATTTGTAAATGAAAAATTTGGTCAATGTTGTTTGTATTTATAAGACTTAAGTGTCCATATCGAAATAAAAAAACATTTGAACCATCTGAGCAGGGGAAGATTGAGGCTCAAATCCAAACAGGAAGTTTGTCAATTTGCAATTTTATAACGATACATATTATCGATTTAATTTGACAAAGCTCTGGTAAAAGCATATTCCATGCCAACAGAGAGACGAAAAGAAATAATTAAATGCTGAAACTCTGATTTTCTCTAGTCGCCCCATTGCTGCCAGCTGGTGTCCTTGCTCAGATTTCGATCTTTAAATAAAATTCTTCTTAAAATTAAATAACTCGCATTTTAACCACCAGCAGCACGTAAAGAGAAACAAACACATTTATCTTGATTTTCACGCTGTCAGCAAGAACTCAAAAAGGCGACAGTTTGTAAAAAGGTAACAAAAACAACAACTATAAAAGAAAATCGCGGTGTCCCTCCGAAAAGAAGTCAATTTCAAGATTTATTTTTTTCTTTCATGCAGTTAAACATTTTAGCCACAAAATGAAAACAAAACAAAAACAAAACAAAAAAAATACAAAACAAATCGAGAAAAATAAAAGAGAGCTTGTGAGTGCGGTTGGGCAAAAATAATAAATTAAAAGCACACGACGCGCAAAAGGTCAAGTGATTAAGAAAGGAAAAAAAAACGCATTGGTCTGGCGACCCCTCGACCTGTGCGTTTAAAAATAAATTCAAAGAATGCCAACAAATGTCCATAAAGCTTTCTGTTATTTATTTTCCTTGCTTTTGGTGGGCAGGATATTTGCATTTCCAGTTCAGTCAGTTTTCGTTTACAGCTGCGCGCAGTTTTCTTTCAAGTTTCCTTTAATTTGCTGGAGGTTCGAGTGGATACATTTAACAAATTCCACTGCAGTAGTCAAAATACGTACTCTGGATTACTTAAAGCAGCCCCTCCAGCAGTCACCTGGCGTAATAAAGTTGCAATCAAACTCGGGTTAGGAGCAAACTTTGCAATTGTCGAGTTATTTATGGGCACACCCAAGAAAATTACAGATGGAGACAGCAAAAGGACTTTAAACCTTTGACATGTGACCACATTGGGCACAATCAGCAAACTTTATCTGTCTTTTACCCGACTCTATGTAGCTTGTGGCTAAATTTATTGAGCTTAAGCAGCTGCTTAACAATTGCTAACAATACCCAACAATATTATTTACAATATAACACAAACAATAACATCATTTATTTAACAACAAAGGCAGTTCTTTCAAGATGGCAAAACCCAAATTCCTTTGGGGGGGCACAATTTAGGACCTACTTTTGTTATTATTATTTAAATATTTAATATTATTATTGCAGGTTTTTGAAATGAAGTAAATGTAGACGTGGACGTTCGTTAAAAGCAACCAAAAAATGTTTTTATTTCCGAAAAAAACACATTTTCAATTTAAGAACCGAATATTCCATTTGCCTATAGTATAACTTTTTTATTTACAACAAATTGTCAGTTTTAATTTTGATTTTCAATATTTTTCAATTGGCGTAAATTTATGTAATTCAAACGAACCCGAACTTAAGAAGCAATAGATTCAACAATCGTTCAGCAATTAAGCAAATGAAAGGTTCATAAGGAACTCCAATAGTCTTTCACTTTGTGAACACATGAAATTTGATTTACATTTAAAGTCTCTTTGAGGGTGAAGCACTTCGGTGAGGCGAGCAAAGCCACGCTTAAAATCTGGCTGGTAAACTTAAGTGCATTAAGCGCTCTTTTGTAAATTGCACTACTTTGTTTTTCGTTTTTCTTTTTTAAATTGTTTGGAGTGCTGGCACGGTATAAAAAGTTGCGTGCACTTTACCGAACTTTTACGGCAAGGAGTACCGCCTACTAATGTAATTACTCAACACACACTTCACACGGGGGCAGACCCATCAAGAAATTTACAATGTAGCCCAGTCGTAAGTGGGACCCACTCAATTCGACCCTGGATGGGCGCCCGTTTTAAGTGTGTTGCGTCCGCGAGATAGTTGCGACCACTAAGAATTGAACAGAGGCTGAAAGATGGATGACGTTCAGATCAGTTCTCAGTAACACAAGCACACACAGACACGGGACAAGGACAGGCACAGTCACAACAAGCGGGACACAGCTCGAAAGTATGCAATGACAACCACACACACACACCCACACACACACACACACACACACACACACACTTAAGCAGCAGTTGTGTGTGTTTGCTCTGACCAGCTGCAGTTGTTAATTGCCGGTTAACAACAAAAAACAGAAAAAGGCAAGGAGAAAGGGCGGAATGGCGGCTAAGGCCAAGAGATGACATGAAATTGCTCTGAAATTACGATATTATTTTGTATGACATTTGAGATAAGGCAACGCATAATAAGAGCAATTAGAAGCTAGAGCAAGACTGCGAAATCGAGAGGAACTGAGCGAGAAAGAGGTAAAAAGCAACGTAATTAACTTTGTGGACTTGCCCATTGTCAATGGAAAATTGTATGGAACTGGGAAAACATGTTAGCATTAAAAGTCGTGAGCGTCGACTGTGAAATACTCTGTAGTTGTGTGGTAAGCCTAGGGTAATCCTCATACATTCACCAAGCAAGCGCATGCACATCGAGATGCATACAGTCTGTCGTTTGAATAGTCGCTGCGAAAACACACATTCATAAGAACAGCTGGACATAGTTATTATTACGTTATATTTCTTCCCTGTCGCCAATTTAACTCATTGTGTTTATTTATTTCCAAATCCAACCCGAGTAACCTATTTTATATAATTGCTGTAACTTTTGAGGCTTAGCTTATGTAAAATCTTGTTTATTTTCCATTAATTGATTTATTTGATTTAATTGATTTTAATCGAGTGTAACGAGTAAAATGAGTCGAACGAGTAGAATTAGTCTAACGAATAGAATTAATGTAAGGACTAGAAGAGAGCGCGTAACGAGTAGATTAAGTGTAACGAGTAGTATGAGAACAGCAGTAAGTTGCGTGTAACGAGTAAAATGAGGGTAACGAATAAAATGAGTAAAACAAAAAAGAAGACTTTAACGAGTAGAACATGTGTTACGAGTAGAATGAATGCAACGCGAACGTAACACACTTCCCGTTAGGCATAGCTATTCAAAAGGATAACGAATTGACAACTTGAAGAATGTCGTTTGTTGTTGTTTTATTTAGCTTTTGGTTCCAGTGATTCCCAATTTAATCTACAACAGCGAGAGGACCAATAGGAGAATGCTAAAATGTTCTGTTCTGTTTATTTTTTAGTTTTATTTTCTTTGTGCCTCTACAAACGAACTACTCCACCCTGACTGTTTGATTTCTTTAGTTTCAAGCATATTTATGACTGCGCTGCTGTTGCCACTTG